TAGAGAAACTAATGTAATTTGAAGAGGAAAGCTTGCAGTGTCTGATATTTAATAACAGATGAATATTTCTTATCAATGCACTTTGCAGCTCTGCGATATTTCATTCAGAATGCCAGATTAGAAAATTCGTGTATTCAGAGTTCGTGTATTAATAGCATTCGTAATGGTTAGGAATCAGCTTTTGAACAAGAAATATCAGTGAACAAAAGGCAATTAATTGTTCGTGTTTCGAACTAATTTTAGAAGTATTATTATTTAAGCATTACATATAATACGTAAACACAACGTATTACCAACAAGTAGTATAAGCGATTAAAAATTTTGTTAATAACACAAACTGTTGTAGCAACCCTACAATACCACAGCTGACTTTAGTGATAATGAAACATATTTCAACAAGATATAATTCCTGATATTTTTAGACATAGGATTCTGGAAAACTTAAATAAATAAATAGAAATGTTAGCTGGACGAAACTGCAAATGCGATTTTAAAAAATATTTTCTGGTTGATTGAAAATACGTTTAATTTCTTTTTCTACCTCTCAGAGAAAAATAGTGTCTCCAGTATATCTACAACAACAATAAGTTCGAAATAACGAAGAAGTCAACAAAAATACATTAAATTAATTATTTTAATCATACATTGGCACAATTTTCATAATGTGTAGAAATATTAACTTAAAATTAATGAACTTTCACATCCGTACGCAAGTATATATATATTTATTTATACGTTCTGGAATTTTTTATAACAACATCGTTCTATTCGGCCACCACGGCTGGTGAATGTTTGATTTGTTTGTTTATATATGCTATCGAGAATACTTAAAAAGGTATTTCATGCATACCTTAGTGCAAAAAATGGAAATTCAGGATGTATTTCACCCTATAATTTCACTCACATGTGATGTTTTGGTTTCAAGATCGAAAACACTGCATTTGTTTCCCCTTAAAGTTTTCTTATCACATTCTTTGAAATGTCGTAATTTTTGTACATAAATCCTTTCTTTGTTGTCACATGATAGTTTTCTATCGCTGGCTGGAAAAAAAGTAAATTCTCTTTTTGTGTCAGCATATTCAGGAATTTAAAAAAATGAGAAATAATGCAATTCTTTGCAAGATTTCTGGCTTCAAATCTAAGACTCAGATCTGAAATAATATTTTTCCCTGTTTGACACATACTTTCTTATTTATGATACTAGGGACAAATATAAGAAAATAGTAGACCTAACGATTCATTCTGTAAATCAGGGTTTCTTAAACTATGGGTCGCGGGATCTGCAGTAGGGGGTCGCCAAAAATTTTAGCAGTTTTGATATTTCTTTGACTTATTATAATAATTTTACAATTACCAAATATTTTTGCACAATATATCTGAGAATGTAAAGACTGAAAATAGATAAACGATAACGTTTCGACGTATTCTTTCTATAATATAAACTTTCATTTTCCTTGCTTTGTACGTGACGCTATCATTTCGTCTGTTACTTATTAAAATTTTCACATTGTTCTATGTCTTAAAATTAGAAATTAAAGTTAATGACCTAAAACTGCAAGAGTATATTATAGTACAAGTGAAAAAATTGAAAGATTCACTCACACGGGTGTCGGATTTGCGCAATACTTATGGGGCCCTGGGCGTCGCAAAAATCTCAGTGATAAAAAGGGGTCGCGACTGAAATAAGTTTAAGAAACCCGACTTTAAATGATAAGCTTAGATACGGCTGGGGTTTCAATTCTTACATAAGTATTTTTGATTTAGCAGCACTGTAGCAGCTGCATATACGATGTATATCCTCTGGAGTAATTCGTAATTCCCTCAATATTTAGACTGCTTAATGTACAGCTGCACTTTCAATTCATTGCAGTTTTTATTTAACTCTCCAATACATAACTGTAGAGTACATGCTATTTATTCACTGTAATTCACACAGCCTTTAACTTTTAGACCGCTAGGTTTGTCCTTGTGCCATTTTTTGGTACTTTTCCCTTGGAATGCCGTTTTACCGCTATTCAAGTAAACATTTCTTAGCCAGAGTCGTCTGTATTTTGTTTACAATACGTTTTTTGGTATACAGGTGTGATCCATGCAGCTGTGAAAGAATAGTTAATGAGTACATTTTTTACGTTTTTATTTAATTATTAATTTAAGTAAATGATCATATTTATGTTTATTATTTTAATCACAGTTTAATTAATGTATTTTTAAATTCTTCTCGTCATTAGATATTTTTAACATTTCACTTTACTTGGGTTATATTTTTTCCAGAAAATGGACATTTACTTTCGTCGTTATCTACGTATTTATTTATTTATATTACTATTCATTCACATAACATTTTTCGTATGTATCTAACATTTGTCAGATATTGAACCTCTAAGGGAGGAAAAGAGTAATACCATAACGTATTCGATATTTCGAATCTATATCTACCGGTAATGGAGCCACATCTAAGCATTACATTCAGTCGACGATTCTAGTCAGTGAACTGTTCTGCATTATTTTTGTTAGTCATATCTAATTTAAAACATCGAAGAAAAATAAAAGAAAATGTAATAAATTTGAAGGGCGAGATAAGCAAGTGTAGAAACTTATGTCAGGTTTATCGATGGTACTGCAAAAGAGCTCGAATACATTAAAAACAGACATCAAAATTGAGTTCCGAAAGGGGAATATAAAACGAAATTCTCATTTTGTGCATCATACATTCATGATTCCTATCTCAAACACATTTTTAGTTTAATCAAATTTAATAAAAATGTTTTGTGTTTTCTTTATTTAATGTGACATTCCTTGAAGAAATTTAGCCGCAGGTATTAATTATCATGCTTTGCAACAATTAGCATCATGGACGACTCAAAAATGAGACTATGAAAGAAATTGCTTTGTTTCGGTTTATCTATACGGTTTTTGGTTCATCTGATTTGGCTGGGTTGAGAAGACCAATTAATTTTTTTTTATTTAACATACTTTTATCTGTGACTCATGTTTTCAATTTCAAGATGAAATCCATGACTGGGCAAATTGAGGAATTTGATGGATGTACTCAAAAAATACCAGTTGGAGATAAACATGTGCAAGAACGTGTTCTGATACATTACATAAATCAAGAAATGCTTTTCTAAGTTGCCTCTGAGTATTGTATGGAATCATTCGAAGGATTTAAACAGGTCTTCTGACCACCAGTAGTTTTCTGCTACAAATAAAATTGCAGTTGCATCATATTTTTCTAATCATTTGAATCTCATTCAATAAGATTCATTTATTCCCATTAGAAACCAACAATAGAAACTCTTCTGACATTGTTTCGAATGTTAAATGAAAGTTTTTTGGCAATCCACAATATTTTTAGTCCAAAGAGGCAATTTTCCCAGAAGGGCTATTAATTTCGTTTTGGCATTTTGCGTCGTCCACTATAAAACGGCGTTTCACTTTTCAAATAGTTACCACCAAATATTAGAGGCTTGCATTATATTTAAAGAAATTAAATAATGAAGGATCTGAATGAATGTATGTATGTTTCTCGCGCTATGAAAAAGAACGGTACCTAGAGACATCAAATTTTGAATAACGTAGCCCTCCACTCGAATACGGGCATCTGGAAGCCAAAATTTGGAAATTGTTTTATAATCTGTTTCATATTTTGTAAAACTTCAATGAAAATTTCATTAACAAACTCAACGATTTCAAAGCGAGCAATGGCAACACTGTACGAAAAAAAAAAAAACATTTTTATCTCCAGTGCGCCAGATTGTGTATCGAAAATTCTAATGATATGCTCTTTTTAAATATTTTTCGATTTTGCTGTTGAATTGTGTTTTACGGTTTAAGTGCAGAGAACATGATATTTAATAAATAAATGTAACAAGCAAAATGTTAAGAAAAACGCTCTTTTGGGCGTAATATACCATCTGAAAACTTTCAGATGTTTTACTTATTTATTTATGTATGTTTACGGCAGATACACGCTGGGGTAAAATTATGCATACACAAGGCTTTGAAGTGTTAGAATTTTAAGTATTTTGGGTAAGATTAGAAAAAAAATAATCGGGAAACTTTTACACCCTTCTTTGTATGCTGGTTTTATGCAATTTGAATATCACATTTTCAGAAAAATTTAGAATGATAAAATTTGCCTTTCAATATTTAGGAGGAACTCATTATATTACTATCAACAGATAGATTAAAATACCAGTGAGTTGTTCTTTGGAAATAGATATTAACTTGATTTAAAAGAACAATCATGTTTTAGGATTATATAACTTCATAACTAGAAGTTGTAAATAAATAGCATATATAATTAGTACATGTAAGAAGGGCATATTAAATCAGTGTTCTACACGTTGCTGTATATATTGCAAAGAAGAAGCATAGCTTTATAATTAATTCCCAGTAATAAATTTAAAGATAATGTATTGGAAGGAATAACATCGACGAATGAAATATTAATACAGAAAACAAAGTTCCACATTTATTGAAGATCAATAAAACGGAGGGAAGAATATAGAATTTTATTTGTGGCTAGCTGTAAAAATCTTTGTCTACTCATATGTGCGCTGAAGGATATATAATCAAGCTTTCTTAAATCAGGGTATCTATTATTCGCTGCAATAAGATGGGCTGGGTTCCATTAAATTAACGTCATGGAACCCAGCCCATTTTATTCAAGGTCCATTTCATTCTTAACGGGTTGGTGACATAAAAGTTCTTGCACATTCTTCTTATGAGAAAAGAATAAAAACTTCACTCAGTTTTCTTTTCTTAAAAATGACCTTCTCTTCAGGATAAAGAGTATTTTATAGTTTTCAGCAATAATTTTCTAACTATTAAAAATCTTTTGTATTATAACGTCTATGGTTTTTCGTTACTTGAACGAAGTTCAAAATACACATTCTAAGACGTGATTCTATTTATTGTGAACCATACAAAATGTCTAACCATGCATTTATTTAAGGTATAAAAATGTGAAAAAATTAAGATACATTAAATATACTTACTTCACCATTCATATAGCAGAATATTAAAGACACCAGAAAACCCTGTAATTAATTATGCAGTGTTAAATAACTAATAAAGGTTACAAAAATAAACTAAATTTTATAAATCATTGAAAGTTATAGACATGGCTTTTCATGTGAAGAAAATATTTTCTGTTGCAATGTGTCTCAGATATGTTCTTACATTATGTGAAACAGATCCTGTTTCTGTAGCGTCATTTGCAGTGTTTTCAGCTAATGACATTTAGTACTAGAATTATCACATTTTCATTATATCCAAAATTATAGCATCGGGTCATAACTGTTCCATGGACATCAATAAATTAATTTTTTCCACTGCATGTCGTATAAAAGCATAATAAATATTATTCTATGTAGGAAAATTTAGTTTTTGAAGCAGTGTACATTAAGAAGCGGTAAGACTTTATACTGCAATAAAAATGTGTAATTTTACACACAATTCATGTAGAATAAAATGTGTACTTTTTGCAAGTTTATTATAAAAGTATTTATACGAATTCAGTTTCAGCTCTAACATTCTGCATAGTTCAAAAATAGCAGAGTAATACATTATTATATCATAATAATCTCAGAAATTGCAGAAATAATTATTACTGCCATAACCTGAATAAAAAAACACTTTGATTGTTCTCTACGTCTCACATGTGATACAAATTTTGTACTCTTGTCATATCTAGTAAATGTAAGTTTACAGCCTCTGTACTTCGGAATCAGCTTTCCTGAAGTTTCTTCCTTTCTCATTTTAAAAGTTTTCATTTATATTTCTTATTTTTTAAATATTTTTTTCTTACTTTATAATACTACAGTCATCTCTGCTGAATTCGTACATCATTATTTCCTTAAAAACTTAAGCATTTATAGATCCAAGATGTGTAGGTAAAAAACAACAACTTAGGATAGCGTTTAATTCTAAAAGGAATTTTTTGTTGATTAGTGTAGTGGGAATTAATTTTTGGTGGCAGTTAAAATATTCGTTGCATGATTCTCAATTCTTAGTTTTCCCATGGCTAAGAGAATTTTCTGAACATACGGACAGGAAGCGTTGGTAGAAAAGCCGTTATTAATTGCAATGGTCAGCAACACTTCGTTTTGCCTTTTCTTGTTTTGAGATAGGAAAGCATCACTTTACAATATAAATTGCTCTATCTTAAGCTTTAGAACGACGAGAATTAGGGGGGATAGGGGGAGGGGTCATATTCCAACTTCTAAGACCAAGATGAGTTGGGAACTATTCTAGGGAGACCCAATCCGCCTTGTCCCAGCGGGACTATATGATTCAAAATAGACCAACCCTCCTCCAAACCAAAACGATGGCAACCAGAGACTCGCAGTTCATTCTCTCATTAGCTGAGCAAAACAAAAAATTAATTTAAGAGCCAACTAAACCACACATTAAAACCGGGTCCCCAAAGCCAGAGCCCCGAGTACATAAAAACTAGTCTAAAGAAACCAAAAAGAACTTAAAAATATACAATCAGCATTCCAACTCTCACTTACTCTAAAAATCATGCTGATAAAACATTATGATGAGTTGGGATAAATGGCATCATGATGGGCTGATAAAACATCATGATCAAGATGGGTTGAAGACATAACTTTCTTTGGAGGTTTCTCGGCTTTGAAATTCAGATTTGGCTGAAATTTGAAAGAGTAAATAGTAGTAGCAATCTAGGGCCAGCGTTTTCCACAGACGTGGCAGTGGCTAGCGCGGAGATTTGGCTGAAACTTCTTGAGGTAGGAGAAGAAAGAAAGTGGGCTTTCCGAGGTCAGACGGCATGGGCGGTGATCCTGCTCTTGTTTACCCTGCGGTATAAATACGAAAAAAATTCGGCCGGATCAAATCAGCGTTAATGCTGCTGTGATTCGTCACTGCCTCGACTATTTATTTCCCAAGGAATATCTGTATGTACAGGTTCCGATTGTGAACGACATGAAATCGTTGCTTTCGTAGGATGCTGTGTTGTCTTCACCTTTTTACCGCTCAAAAGATGCGCCTGGATTCTGTAATCTGTGCGTCTTTGAATTCAATATCGATCGGTACCTTGTGTGCGTCTTTGCATGTTAGGTAGCTATTATGCAACAATGCACATATGCAAAGAAATGCAAACACAACTGATTGCATCATCTTTAGAATTGTAAACTCTCGTCATTACGTCAATTTCAAGAAAGCATTTTTACATTATTGTCGTTTATTGACAGATGATTAGTTTAATGTTTTATTATTCCTACAGATGTAATCATAACTGCCACTGAGTAACCGCATTTTGCTTGCTTTTTGCCTGTCACATGGAAGTTTCTACGTTGCATGCAGATAACCATTTCTGAATAAAAGACATTTGCAGAATTTTGATCTTTGAATTTTTCTTCAACTCAGTTGTTTACGTTTCGACAGTATTATGGTATGCTATCTACAGATTTAATGAAACACTGCTGCGTGAAATTATATAAAAGAACTCTCTCCATACTTAAATTTTTGCATAACAGGGTACTAGTGTATTAGTGGAAATATTTGTAAATTCATAATTGTATAGCTGGTGATTTAAATCATACATTATAAAAATAATCTAATGATTCATTTTGAATGTGACTGTTAAAAAACACATTTGAGTGCATTGAACCATGATTATCCTTTAATAAATTTGCCAATAATTCTCGAGAATATAACTTATTGTAAAGAAATTTCAATATAATTGGGATATAATAGCGTAAGAAATAATAAGAAGCTATGTAACATTATATGATACGCAAACAATTCACATCAGATTTAAGTATTTCTTTTATTCTCGCAGGTACCAATTTGCTTAATGGCTTCTTTTCCCAAAACGAATAAAAATGCGATATTTTAGTCGTAAGTATCTCCTCTACGAGAGAGATACAACCGGCTTATTTTAAATTACCAAAAGTTTCAGTGTTGTAGAGTTTTCTATTTAGAAACAGTTTAGAAGAAGATCTGATAAATTTAGTTAAACGCAGCAGTTCTGAGCTCTGTATTCCTTAAGTTAGAATAGTTTATTTCTAAAAACATATCACCTAACACTGTAAGTATGTGGTTCGGGTTTCTAGCCTTTAGGTTCAGAATTTTATAAAACTAAAGCTACAATTTAAAATCCAAATGTGTTTCTCAGACTAATGACTCCCAACAGTGGTAACCTGATATATCCAGGGAGGTTTTACATTTAGGTGACTAAAATAATTTTATTTGATTCAAATAACGAAAAGGAGAAAACGATACGTTTGGATATATATTAATTGCAATAATACTGTGGCTCTTGTATGGAAAGATGATATTTAGAATGGTAAAAGTTCAACTGTAATGAAATTTTAGGAAGTCGATTCAATAATAAGCAATTCGAAATCTGAAATTTCGAATAAGAATACGTTATGAAGAACAAAATTCAGTGCTAAGGGATGCAAAAAATTAAAGATATAGAACATTAAATAAATCCAAAAAATCAATGACTTGGCAATAGTAAGAGAAGAACAGCAATAGAATTAAAAAAATTGCCAATTAATAGTCATAATAATAGATATCCGAGGAAGATGTTACATGATCCTTAATAGGAAAAATTACGTTTTACATCTTAATTAAACATTGAATCTATTTCGGATTACCGCTACTCGGTTTACTTGTGAATCTGAATTTCCTAACACATATTATGCCTCATATTTGGATAATATGAAATAAATTTAGTACATCATTTTATAATTTGTTTGTCTCTTTGTCTTCCTTGTAAAAAGCCTCTTACTCTATGAGGTAAGGAGTGGGTCTTTTTTTTCTTTTTTGCTTTTATATTTGCTATTGCTCTTTATGCTCACAATCTGTTCTTGCTCAAGAAAACTCAAATATTTAAGTGTTTTTGCTCTTAGTTATTAAACAATTTTGAATTTTTTCCCTCCTAATCGTATGAGAAAATTGTATTTTGATAAGATGCTATTTTATCGGAAAACTACAATTTCCAAAGTATTTTTTTAACTGATAATAGTAATGGATCCGCTTTTAAAACCCTTTTATCAGATTTTAACTTTTAACAAACTCATAACGTATCTTTTAAGTTTGGCTTAATACATATAATTTATATTAACAGTTAAAAATAAAGGTTATACATTTTCTTTCATATACAAGAAAAACATACATTAATATTTTTTTCTTTTATTTACCAAAACGGATTCTCCAGTTAATGAACTAATCTTCTTTAAGAACTAATCTTTTAGAGTGATTTACATATGTCGGCTTTATTTAGTGATTTTAATTATAATCCTATGCTTTCAAAAGCAATTAAAAGCCTCATATCATAGTTTTAGATGCCTTCCTAATTCTTGAGTTTTTTTCTTGTCTATGCTATTAAAATCTGTGCTCATCTGTATGTTTGTTTGTGGCATTATCTTCTCCGGAATGGCAGGGAGTTCCGTTTCGAGAGAGGTACCTCCCCTGGGTTCCTAAATTTCGTGGGAAGTCATTTAGACCATTCTCATGATCGTACGACTTTAATCAGCCGAGATATTAATTAAAAACTCCGAAAATCCGAAAATGCTAATTTTCGCGTTCAATTTTCGAGTGCGCTGGAGATAAAATTCTGCTTTATTTCGAAAAGTGTTGCCACTGCTGGCTTTCAAATCGTATACTTTATTAATAACAAATTTGTACGTTTTATAAAATGTGAAATAAGAATAGTATTGCCAAGCTTTAAACGTATTATTATTATTACATAAGGTCATATTCTGACGCGGAAGAAAGCATACGATTGCATGTGACGTCATTTATGTCGAAAATCTTCATTAATGTCATAAATAAATAGCTGCTGTTAGCAATTTTTTTTTTGTTTCAGGCTAGTATAATTGACACGATATATTAATGCCACGTTAATTCTTTTATTGATATTGAGAAAATTATGTTATATTACATTACATTTAAATCATGACGTCATACGTATTAACCTGAAGTGTCCAAATTTTTTGTTTCCTGGTTTGGCAATAATAGAATTATTTTCAAACTGGTTGTTGCTTGGAAAGAATGAACTAAT